ATACAGCTTTAGGTCACGATGATTTCAGGTACAATCAAGGGTTTTAGTAAACATAATATCTTTCTGATTGAGCCTATAAAACTCCTCTGTTGAACATAGACCATAGATTGCCATGAGGGGGATTTTACCATATTTGCCACAGCTATTTTAAGTTGTAAGTAGAAAGATGCTGTTGCTGTTTCATGGTCTACATTTTTTTTTCTTCATATTAATTGTTTGTGTTAAATTACTGCCTGCAAATGTTCTATTATAGGCTCTTTTACATCTACATACGAGGGTGGATTGAAAAGTACTCGGCCTAACCAAGAAAATAAACACATACTAAATCAGTTATATTTTTATTTTTCTACATAATCACCATCAAGTTCAATACACTTTTGCCACCTCCCCTTCCAAGCACTTAGACCGTTGAAAAAAAATGATTCTTCCTTAGAGTCAAAATATGCGTCTACAGCTGCTTTGACCTCGTCGTTTGTCGAAAATCTTTGACCTCCCAAGTGCTTTTTTAGGTTAGGGAACAGAAAGAAGTCTGATGGTGCCAGATCAGGTGAATACGGCGGATGCGGTAACAGTTCAAAGCCACAGTTGTGAATTTCAGCCATTGACTGTACTGACGCGTGAACACGGGCGTTATATTGATGAAATAGGACTTTTCTTCTGAGCATTCCTCGACGTTTTTCTTTTATTTCCTCTCGTAAACGACGTAGTAAGGTGCAGTAGTAATCAGAGTTTATAGTCTGACCCCTTTCAAGATAATCAATCATAATCACACCTTTCGAGTCCCACAATACTGAAGCCATTACCTTATTTGCCGACAAAATCGACTTAGCCTTTTTAGGGGTGGTGAACCAGGTCTTCTCCACTGTTTTGATTGTTGTTTTGTTTCCGGTGTACAGTAATGAACCCATGTTTCGTCCATAGTAACAAAACGATTCAAAAAATCATCTGCATCGGCTTCAAATAACTCCAAACAGTCGCGTGAAATAGTCAATCGCGTCCTTTTTTGTTCAACTGAAAGCAGTCGCGGAACCCACCTCGCAGACACCTTGTGGAAACCCAACTCGTTGACAATGATGTTTTGAGTTCGTTCATAAGAGATGCCTATAATCTCGGCTATCTCTCTAATTTTTAATCTGCGGTCTCCCATTATTAAATCAAGTACTTTTTTAATATTTTCGTCAGTAGTTGACGTCGAAGGCCTTCCAGAGCGGGGTTCATCTTTCACACTCTCTCTACCACGCTTAAATTCTGCTATCCATTTTTTGACGGATGTATATGACAGAGCACAATCGCCTAATGAACTGACCATGTCATAATGGATGGCTTTTGATGATAGCCCCTTCTTATGGAGGTACTTAATGACGGCACGCTGCTCGATTTGCTCCATTCGCGGAAATTATGTCCGATTACTTTGTTAATAAATTTATAAAATCACAACTAATTATCGTACACGTTTCGAACTTCACACAATGAACTAGTCTGAACTGAACTAAATAATGTGGGTAGATTTGATTTTTAGAATTGAATGGATCTGTGTTAGGCCGAGTACTTTTCAATCCACCCTCGTACTTGAAATTAACTTCTATAATATTTCTTGATTTCGTAAACCGGCATGTTATCTTTTAATTTACGTAAGCGAACCTAATCGATTGCGTAGCTTCTATGAAATTTAAGATAAATACCCTGCCTCTGTTTAAACTATGCCTTTGTTTTTTTTTTAATAATATTTTTATTCTATATTTTATTAATAAGGTCGCATAAAATAAGGAATCAGTGTTTTGATTGTGATATTAATGTAGTAAGTACTTTCCGGTACAGTCACAAGCATGTTATAAACATGCTTTTTCAATAATTTCTTACAATATTAGGCTCCTCCATAGAGTACTATAATACACAATAGAATGGCTGTCAACTTTATTTTAAACGAGGATTGGCGTCGCGAAACCCGATTCGCTGTGTTGACAGACTGAGTAAATTTACACATTTTAGTCTCTTGATTAATGTTCAAGATCATCATTAAATTTTAATACATATCTATTTGTAAATAGTGTGCAATTTGGCATTTTCTAAATAATCTGCATGCGAAATTCGGAAACGATTGTAACGTCAAAACACATCTCGTGTTGACATTTATACATGTGAATTGATGTGTTAGTGACATTTTAGTGGCTAAGCGGACTCCGCCCACCTCCGTTCTATCATGTATGTATTATAGTATGGGCTCATCTGTATGTTTTAGATCTTGTTATTGTAAGAATGACCAACGAGCGCACAGTTTACCTGATGATAATTGAACGAAATAGTTGTTGGCCCTAGACTGGATATCAGTATCTATGACACAAAATGGAGATACGTGGTTCTTCACCGAGGACTGGGAGTGAATACCCCATTACCAGTACCTACATACGAAAAGCAACAGCTGCTATTTTACGCTGGTATCCTATGCGAGCGTCGTACATCCTTGTCGGCCACCCGTTACGCCTCAGGCCTTCACGTGTGTTAAAGAACTTTCATTTTGAAAGGCACAGATTTTCGTTAAAAGTTTAACAACAGTATTCATTTTTAAGTTTTTTGTTTATAAATAAATACTTACTAAGAGCACGGATTTTGTAACGCTATCAGTCGTACCGTAACAAAAACCGTCGTTCTCGCGCCGTCGACCATAATTCCTATCTTTCTTGTTACATTGACGTCAAAGTCAAACAGAAGTACAGAAGTGTATGAATACGTGTTTTATAATAAACTCGCTGATAACTAGATGGCTATGAGGTTTTTTTTTAATTTGACACCTAAACTAAATTACTCCAGAATTTTATCGCATATTTATAAAATAATTAAATGATACCGCTCGCTCTGCTGGGCGCACGATAATATTATATTGCGGAACCTAGATGCAACATTTTTAGGACTATCGTAAAGTCTGTTATTAGTGAGGGTCTGCAAAATGAGTAACTATACTAAGTCAATCGGAAGTATAGTTTTAGAGATCTCGTGATGAGTCAGTCAAACAGTGGTATTTTGCTTACAAGTTCATCATATTATATAGATTGGACACTGGTTCTGGTTGGGTTATAGGATGGTAGGATAGAGGAAAGGACCACCGCAAAAGTTTGCTCTGTCGATACATAAAATATATTCGTTAAAACCAGGAATTAACCTCGGAGATAATATCGTTTTACTTATATAAAAAGAGCACATATATTGATAACCTCACTTCATACTTTTTTAAGTCGCTTAAAACTACTAGTGAGCGCGACATTTGTAGAATCAAAGGTGAGGTTTATTACAGTTTACTGGCATTTACAACCGACTTCGAAAACGGAAGAGGTTCTCAATTCCACTGTGTTTTTAGGTGTTACTTTAGAACTGTTTTATATGTGAACTGATTTTGATGATTCTTTTTTTATTTTATTTTATTTGGAAGCTGGCGCTTCTCAAGTGATCCCATATGAATTTGATCAAGATCTGACTAGTGTCGGAGTTATCCTTAACAATGCGTATCTGGGGGCACAGCAGTGCCCGCGCCAAGTCAAGCAAAAAGCGGCACAGCCAGTTACCAAGCCGGGATTGTATAAACACGCTATATTTCAAATTTTATTCAATTTGAACCGGTAGTTTAAGAATTATAACTATAATAGTCAAACTTTCTTAATTTTGTCACTCACTCACTGACTGACTGACCGATCATCAAATTTCTAAGGCATTTCTAGCAGACATAGAAGATTCAAATTTAGAATACAATTAGTGTTTAGTGTAAAAATTAAGGAAAATCTAAAATATTTTGCGATTTCAGTACAGTTTTCTAGATACATAAACTGCACAAATAACTTTGTCATCATCATCATCATTACAGCCCTTCACAAGTCCACTGCTGAATATAGGCCTCCCCCAAGTAATGCCACAAAGCACGGTCCTGAGCCACCTGCATCCATCGACTTCCTGCATATCTTACCAGGTCGTCACTCCATCTAATGGGGGGTCGCCCTACACTACGCCTATCGGTACGAGGCTGCCACTCGAGAACCTTTCTTCCCCACCGGTTATCGGTTCTTCGAGCTATATGGCCGGCCCATTGCCACTTCAGCTTACTAATCCGTTGGGTTATGTCGGTCACTCTGGTTTTACTGCGAATATCCTCATTTCTGAGTCTATCGCGCAGAGAAACTCCGAGCGTAGCCCTCTCCATAGATCGCTGAACGACCTTGAGCGTCCTCATACGGCCAGCAGTGAAGGACCACGTCTCTGAACCGTAAGTCATCACTGGCAACACGCACTGGTTGTACAATCTAGTTTTTAGAGATTGAGGTATACCTGACGAGAAACCAAGTCTCGCAACGGTCTTCTACCGTAACAAATAGAGAGTCCTTACTTAAGGTTGCTTCTGTTTTAAGTTATTATGTAATAAGCTAACCTAACAACACCTTATAGTGACTATATCAATATTAAAATTCTTTTAAGTTTTAAATAAATAGATTGACTCGGCAATCGCACTAAGCATTCTAATTTAATATAATATGTATTACTTGTGAGATACATTGTGTTTTCATGCGTTGGCCAAGTCAATCTATTTATTTGAAACATAAAAGATTTTAAATATTGAGGTGGTCACTATAAGATGTTGTTAGGTTAGCTAATTACGTAATAACTTAAAACAGAAGGATCCTTAAGTAGGGACTGAATAAATTAACCGACTTGGTATTACATGGATCTCTCTACTTGTTACGGTAGAAGAACGTTGCGAGACTTGGTTTTTTTACAAGTTATGTTTTTGATGGTATTTAATTAAATTCGACTACATTTATGATGTTATCATTTTATTTATATTGAAGACGGATGTACATTTTTTTTAACTTTACCACTTGTTTCCTTTCAATCCGAAACAACTGCGGGAGCACTGCTTGCTGCATTAAGGCAGCAATAGCTTAAGGTAACTAATGCCTACCTAGGCAGATTCATAAGCAGAAAAGTAATTCAACTAACTAGTGAATTAAAAAACTTACCTCTTAAGGAAGTCAGTGTATTCGGCTTGACGTATGAGGCCAGTCCGCATCATAATCGTCTGGAAGCATTGTCTTTCGATGGCCCAAAGTCGACAGTCGGTCGCGGCTTTGATGGTGGCGGTTCTTTTGCAGTTGTAGAGTATGGCAAGCTCTCCAAACACCTTCCCCGGGGCCATGGTGCTGAGGTATTTGTTTTCCCGCGATACTTCCACTCTGCCCTCTAAGAAACAAAGAAAAAAGCATTGTTAAAGAGTTTATTATATTATATGTATGTATGGATGTTGTATGCGTAGGTGTATGGATGTGTATGCGTAGGTGTATGGATGTGAAGGAGGCGAGAGAGGTGTGTCAGGATCGTGCCAAATGGAAGTCTGTAGTCTCTGCCTACCCCTCTGGTTGACAGGCGTGAGTGTTTATGTATGTATATAGTAATAATATATTATATATTAGATTAGATAATTAAGAGTTTGTAGAATAAGAGTGACAACCGAGCACAATAAGTGAATGCTGTGGCACATAGACATCTACATCCATTCTTGATTAAAATATATATATATATATATATATATATATATATATATTTTTATTTATATATAAACAGATGCATTGTCTCCCCTAAGTACAGATATGGAATAGTTTGTTTCTAGTAAAAAGGGTCTCCCGTTTTCTACACTCACCATACGAAGCATAGTAGCATTAAGCTCCTATTTCACTCTATTAATTTGTGATAGCTAGGTCTTTCCATTTGTGCTACCGCCACAATTTAACTGCATCATGACTCTAGTAGAATTTCCCTTCCGAGTCCGTTGTTATGTCGTAAAAAGTTAGCAACGAACAAGTTATGTTTCTACAGTAAATTAATTAGCGCGTATAAATGTATTCAATGCCAATTGTGCTCTTCAGACGAAAGCAGAAGAATGGATCTTTACCCTCTCATTGCATTGGCTTAAGTACCAGAATTAAATATCCTCTTTGTTTTCTGCCGGTACCTCACTTAAGGGGAAATATAACCTCAAATGGCTTAGCAAGATCCCCCGTTATGCCGAAAGTATTGCAGCATTAATTTTGAAATAAATATATGGTAAAGTTGAGGATTAATGTTAAGGACTATGTTAGACGAAAACACGATTCCGTAAAATTTTCTCGATAGAAAAAAATCCAAAGTTACCTCAAAACTGAACAATAAACCGCTGTTATTCATAAAATACTTTAAATAAGATCATGAAACTTTGCATACCAACTGAACTAACTATAAAGTAGTGCTTATGTTATTTACTTTTTTATAAAATACCATTATTTTCACTGTAAAAAGAAATTACCTAAACTATCGGCCTCTTGAAGCGTGATTCCTGCCGCACGGTCACTTCGCTTCGGCCTTTGAAGGGGGAGGTTGTGTCGCTTAGGATCAGAATATACATTACGCAACAGGACGACGTAAAATTAAAATGGGAAATAACCGTAATAAAAATAAGAAGCGACTGGGTTGGCGTTAAGAAACAGGCATAAATATGATAAACCTAATGAAATAAGTGTCTAACGACCTTTCTACTTACAATATTAGTGATTACAAACATGTCGGTACATAGCATCCGACGCGCGGGCAAGTGGGGACGAAATTAGAATTTGAGCTGACTTACTATATCCCCTTAAGTACAATCTTCGAAATCTATTGTTATATTCGTATTCTGTCAGAGCGTGGTCCTCCCCCGGTCGAACCGACCCATTCGTGCTACAACCATAATAGAGCTGCAACGTGGTAAAGCCACAGTGGAATGCATTAAAAATTGTTACTTTATTGGTCATTTCTGACAAAAAATTATTTCTTTCTCAACGAAACACACCACACTGAACGTCCACAGCTGAACGTGGGTACTTTGGACAAGCGAATTGCCGATCACATTATTCGACGTCTAGCACATTTTACGCTGTTTTTTTTAAATGTTTTAAAATGATAAAAACACGTCCTTGAAAAATGCATAAGGTCTTCAATAAAGCCTTTTGTATATTAGAGCCGTGGTAGCTCAGGGCTAAACGCTCGGTGTAAATATTTCACGGTATACGAGCCACCCGGGTTCGTTCTCTGCCGATACTAATGATTAACCACGTATAATAATTAACATATAATAATTAATAAATAGGCATTCGTAACATAATAAACGTAAATAAGCACAAATATTTTACTTATTTGAGAATTAATAAAAATTATTTAAATAACGGGTAATGATTAACGGGGTATTATTTTTAAATACGAAAAATAAAATATTCAACATTAACAATTTAAAAAGTTGCTATAATTAAGCAATTAAAATGATAATGGATTCGCATTTTACTAATTATTGTAAATTTTAATTTATGAATGGGGTACGTATATATTTACGTATGTATTTATTTAATTATGTATATTCATATAAATAAACTTTCAACAACTTGATCGTTGGAATAAACGTCACACCCAAGTTTGTCAAACCCAAAACCTTAAAAGCCTTCGGAGCTCAGGTGACTCAACTTAGTAGCGAACTATTTATTTATTTACTCGTATTGATGCAAGCAGTGACTAATATTATCTATTTTATTTATAAAACAAATTTTAGTAGCGAATTATCTGCTAATTATCTACATATACATATATTTTATTATGACTTTTCTTTCGCTATTTATATTGTAATGGTACCCACTGACGATACGTCCATTTATCCAAATGGAGTGGTAATCGTCCAAAATCGTTCCGTGAATGGTAAAAATATATTCCATTTGGATGGAATTCATCCAGCTCTGGATTTCCAAACGGATTGAAATCCATGCGTCCAGTCCAAATGGACGTCATCCGCGGCCGTCCGTCAATGGCAAAAACGTGCGCCACGCCAAATGGAAGCAGTCCGAATTGTCAGTGAATGGGCGAACCGGCGTCCATTTTTTGGAGGTTAATGTTTGGTAAACTATTTATTAATCTGTGTTAATGTGTCAGTTTATATTTTGGTGTTGATGGTGGTACATGTACTCTGTTTGTCAAACATAAACTGTGTATTGGATTAAATATATTTTTATTATGTAAAGTATAGGCTATGGGTGACAAACAAGTACACAGTCCACATGATGTTAAGTTGATACTGTAGCCCATGGACCGAATCTATCATCGAATAAGAATCGAAATGTAAACGCGTTGTCACCCCTGTAGAACTAGGTGGAGTGCCTCGTTCGCAGTAAAAAGATTATCCGGTTCTTTACACTCAGCATACGAAACACAGCAGCATAAAGCTGCTACTTTATGCTATTGTGTGAGAGCGTGGTCCTTCATCATTCACATTCGAGCCGACCCATTTGTGGCTACAGCCATAATATAGATGCAACGGTGCTCTACCACGTATAGTTACAATGAATAATATCCACTATATGTTGATATCGACTTTTCAACGATATTGCTCCACCATAATCTATACCACATCTATAATGAGAGTAACGTACTAGCACACAGTCCACCTGGTGGTGGGTGATGTGGTCCACACATTATATCTACATGTATTCTCAATTAAGAGTCAAAATATAAATGGGTTATCATCTTTGAAGACTACGATGGTTTGCCCCGTTCAGGGTTTTTTGTCTTTTAATGAAATACACGCTGCTGCAACCACCAGTAAAGTATTATTACCCATATTCCTATACTATTAAACGAGCAATTCTTGTATATATATATATATATATATATATCGGGATCTCGGAAACGGCTCCAACGATTTTCATAAAATTTAGTGTCCAGGGAGTTTCGGGGATAAAAAATCGATCTAGCTAGGATTTATTTTTTAGAAAATGTCTTTTTGTCCGTGTTTTTAGGCAATGAAAAACTGCTACAATATCGTTAGAATAAGAAGGTAAATTTTGACAAAATTGTAAATAATTCTAAATAGCTTAATTGGTTAATGTGCGGTCACGGAATCGTAAAACCCCGGTTCGAGCCCCGACCGACCGACTTTTTTTAATTTTTTTTTCAAGTTCCTCTCTTTTTTTGAGAAAATCTATTTTTTCGAGCCCTTTTTTTTAGTATTTTTTTAAAAACACGAAAATTTTAATTAAACTAATTGCACTCATGATTTTTTTATTCAAATAACCAGTTCAGTTTTTTCTATTATGTCGCTAAGATCAAAAAATATTATTTATATTTCATCAGTAAGTAATTTGTATCTAAATATAATTTCCAAAACACACGAATAAAAAAAACTGAGCGAAAAATACCGAGCAAAGCTCGGTCAACCAGGTACTATTATTTATATCCGTTCCGTACGACCGCCAAGTTCGAAGTGACGCCATGCGTCCAAATGGATGTATCGTCAATGGTACAGTATGTGGATACATTTCTGTTTGGAGTGCATCCATATGGAAGTCTTCTAAATGGACGTATCGTCAGTGGGTACCATAATGTACTCCAGACTGAATTTCAGTCAGTCTCGAAGGAGATTAGCCATCGGCGCAGGACAGGATTATAGTGTACAAGTGTATTCCCAAGCACAATTGCACTCTCTATTCCCTCACTCTCATAGTCCGATTGGACGGTAAACCGACACGACAGGAGAGAGATCAGGCGCAGAAAAACGGCTTTACGTGCTTTCTCAGGCATGGGAGTGAGACACCGCCAACCAATCGCAAACAACAGATTTTTTTGCCCGACCCGCGGCTCGTACCCAGAACCTCATGATCAGCAGTCACGCTTACAATCACTAGACTAACGTAGACAGGAGGCAGGCAGGTAGTGAACTTAAGAAATAATATAGCATAAAAACAGGCCTTTAAACTAATTTAATATTAATTATACTATGATTTAATTTTTCCATCAGTAACTGTGAAATTGCCGTTTCGTAATACGGGCTAGTTTAAAATAACATGTGTATTAAAGCTATGAAATTGCTTTCAAGGATTCATTTGTTTATATGTTTTCTTTCGTTTTTATTTAATTCTTTCCGACGTAATCTGCGACAGTATAAAAAATAATATTTTGTGTCATTTATGAAAACGAGTGACAAACACCGAATGTCAACTCCGTGAAACCCGTAGGGCATATTCGTTTTGCGTTTGCAAATGGGGTCCAATTACCTCCTGTACCCCTTAAATCACCCGGGACTTAATATTAAACGCTAAAGTGGAAGCGACTTCATCTGAAACTACATAAAACAACTTATTAATTGAAAAATTATATACCGACGAACATTTTTCTTCTATTTTCATTAAATT